TCTCACTTCTTCTCACTCCTGTACATGCAGCTCGGAATGAAAGAGAAGTTAAATTTAAAACGTTACAGCGCCCGGTAGTTGTTGTGGGTTACAAACCACAAGGTCTGCAGCCTGAGCTTGTTTTTATAACAGTGTATAGTATGACTAAGTGAGTGAATAAATCAGAGACCCATCGACAAAATAAATAAATAAAATCCTGAGAGTTTCACGGCGGTGTGCTGAAGTACAGGTGCAGAGCAGGAGTGAAGATAAGAACCGTTCCCAGGATTGAGACGGTGAGGAAGGCCCACAAGAAAATCCTGTCCAACACCTGAGCCACAAATTTCCAGTCCTGCACGACCTGAAGGGACACAAACAGAGACGAGCGTAAGAAAATCAAACCCATTAATGTCGAGACTCGTTGGCTTCACCAGCACCTGCTGCCAAAGGCCACAGAGGAGTGATCATGTTTTCCCTGCGTTTGACTGTGTTAGCAAAATTTCTAATTAAGAACAGGACAGATTTAAATGAAACTCTTAAAAAGACATCTGCAACTTCTTACCTTGAGGTCCAACTCAGTTCAAAGTGACTGCCGCAGCCAGCTGACCTTAGATAATACAGTAGTCGCTCGCTACTTCGCGGTTCGACTTGTGTGGACTCGCTCTTTCACAGTTTTTCAAAGCAAGATTGTACACGACACGCGTTAGTCAACTTTAATATTACGCACGTGATTGGGACAGTATGGGATACTGTAAAAAGTTAAACAAAAAAAAAAATACTTTGGACAGGCGCCACCATTTTGTAGTTTTATGTAATTAAGCCTTCACTGTAACACCACTCAAAAGGACTACATTACCCAGAAGCCAAAGTTGCTTTCTGCTGAAATAGAGGGAAAACTCTGATCCAATCCAAAAAAGTTTGGTCTTTATTCGTAGCGATTTCAGAGCTCAGTGGATGCAGCGAGCCAAAAGAAGCTGACTGGGAATTGGACCAGAACCGGACTTCCAGCCTCATTGGTCAGTGTGAGTGCTACCGGGCCATGAGGCCTCACGGGCGGGGAGGCGTTGCTTGGGGGTCCTGTGTTTTTCCCCAGAGCTCATCGGGGCTTTTTTCATCCTGATTTGGACTCTATCTGGACCCGTATGTGGTTTTGTGCTGGCTAACCGAAGGTCCGGCTCCTCTAAAAGCATCTTGGTGGCTGCAGAGAGCCGACCAGAACCAGACCAGAACCAGAACAAGGTTGGTGAGTACGGGTTTCTAAAGTCTTAACATTTGAAGGCATTACTACTCACTGAACTTAAAATTTTACGTGGAGTGAATAAACATTACCAGGTTATCTTGATTAATGAACTTTTGCTTTAGTTGATTTAAATTTATTACTTGGCTGAACTGTTTTTGTGTGTTTCAACTCAGGAATCTGTCAATTTAACTTAAGTGGTGAATAAAAAATACTAAAATAAATATAGTATTCCTACGCCGTGGTTTTTCACTTATTGCGGAAGAGTCTGGAGCGTAACCCCCACGATAAACGAGGGACTACTGTACTAAAATTATGTCAATTTAATAAATATTGAACTAAAACTTGCAGTTGTAGTATAAACATAGAATATAATAGAAACAGCCTTTATTGTCCCACGGATGGGAAATTCAAGTGTAAACATAATCTCCAATGTACACTGAACAAAATATAAATGCAACACTTTTCAAAAATGGCCTTTTATTGTGGTCAGTCTAAGGCACACCTGTGCAGTAATCCTGCTGTCTAATCTGCATCTTGATCTGCCTCACCTGTGAGGAGGAGGGATTATCTCTGCAGAGGAGAAGGGCTCACTAACACACATTTAAAAAAGGCTTATTGTGCATTTGGGTTCAGCTCATGAAAAGTGGGAGCAAAATCAAAAGTGTTGTGTTTATATTTGTATCCAGTGTACTTAGAGTACTACACATTGTGCAGTAGTTTCACTTGAAGTATAGAGGCATTACCTGCTGGAATCAATCCTGACTGCCTGCTGGTAAACGACCCCATAACTCTCAGAATGTAAATGTCAGCTGAACTTCCACAACTGAAAAACTTTTGGGGTCAACCCAGTTCAAGATGGTCACAACAGCTAAACTTTGCCTTCGTGAAAATGGCTAAACCTCCGCAAGTTTCACATACAGAGCTAAAGGTTGGTGTTAGAAGCTGCAACTTTCCACCACTCGGCTACTCCAAGTGCTAACAAATCACACACAATATCAAGGTTTGACCAAAATATAAACTATTGTTTTTAAGATAAAAAGAACTTAGTGTCATCAAAACCAGGAGGATATCTAGTATTTACTTTAGGATTTTATAGGCCTTTAATTTTAAGAAGAGGTTGAAGAAAAAAGTGAGAGAAGTAAAGAAATGCATCCGTCCATCCGTCATCGTTACCCGCTTCTTCCTTTACGGGTCACAGGGGTCACTGGTGCCCATATCCATAGTCACTGCATGAGAGGTGGGGACACCTGGACATGTCTCCAGTCCATCACAGGGACACATAGCGACAACCATTCACTCTCTCACTCATACCTAGGGACAATTTAGAGTTACCAATCAGCCTAACATGCATGTTTTGGTCTGTAGGAGGAAACCGGAGCACCCGGAGAAACCCCACGCAGCACGGCGTCTGGATTTGAACCAGCAACCTTTTCGCTGAGCGGCAGCAGCTCTACCAGCTGAACCACCATGAGAGTCAAAAGCTACAAGAGACACAAGGTGCTGGTTCCCTCCTGCGTGCCCGCACCTCTCGTATGAAGTGTTCCTTCCGGATGTGGCGGCTGATGTAGCGAACTGAGCTTGTGGCTTTCTCCAGCATCGCCAGCCAGGCTTGGTTCTCATCCTCGATCCCCCCGAGGGCTCCTCTCTGTTGGCCACCACCAGGAACGCCCCTCCTCAGCAGCCCTCGCCGGGGCTTCAGCTCGGGGCTTCGCATCTCCGTGTCTGGGAAGTTGTATCTGAGGATAAAGGTATGAAGTCGCATTTTTAGTCGTCTCTTGTTGACTTATTTTATACTAAAGAGCACATTACTGAAATCTGGATTAAAAAAAAAAACTGAAATAGAGTGAATGCATTTTTTTTTTTCATTTATTTATTTATCCAGTTTCATTTCATTTGTATGCATAAGAATATGTGTTGCCATGCCTTGGCTACAATCTTGTGTGGTAGCAGCTACTGACTCAAGTTTACCTGTCTGTGTGTCCTCTCATACACAGCAGCCTGGGCAGTCTCTGGAGAAAGAGGCTCTTTACCCAGGGGGCCATGGGGTGGTAGGTGGCAGAGGAGCGGTGGTGCACATTTATCACAAAAACTGTGACAATGATGGAGAAGGTGACAAAAATCATGATGAACAGGAGGTACTCTCCGATCAGCGGGATCACCTGTTCAAGTATCAAAAAAAGCCACGTAAGAACCTCACTGTGTAAGAAATGTGTAATCACTAAAACACATTACTGTTTTAAAATGTATTTTTTAAAGCTAAATATTTCAGTCAGTCCAATCTAAATACTAAAATATTGAATAAAAAGTCAACATTAACTTATTTAACAAAATGCACATAAAATGGATAAAATGGCTCCTGCAGCTTTTATGGGTAAATATTTATTAATGACTATCCCTGAAGGGAGAGCAATATTATTATTATTATTATCAACAACAATAATAATAATAATAGTAATAAACTTTATTTATATAGCACCTTCCAACAACGCCTTGCATTGACCGAAGTGTTTTACAAGATAAAACAAACACAAACAGGGAACAATAAATTTGTGCAAATTAAAAGCACAGCCATAATAAAAGGAGGTAAAGGAGATACAAATACTAAAATACTAAAAGTTAAACATAAAAAAGTTTAACAACAAAATAAACAGTTAAACAAAATAGGTTTCGATGCATGTCATGAACCACTACAAAGGTTTTAAAGTTTGATTTTAGTCATGAATTTGTTAAATAAGGAGAGAAAATTATTAACACAAGAACAATGGAAATACATAGTCATGATAGATGTAAACAAGTGGTACACCAGTGTCCCCCATCCCCGAGAGATAGGTTGTATGTAGTTTTTAAGATGCGTTTTTTTTTTTTTTTTGACTGGAACAAGGAATGCAAGTAAGCCTTGAACTTTCTGGTGTAAGATATTCAAGTGGTGGGAGTTACACCGTCTCTAGAGTAGAGGTGGGTTTTCTTTTTGCTTGTTTGAGGCAGCACAGAGTGACGGGTCCTGGAGAGTGGAGGGAACAATTTTATCCACGACCTGGTGTAATGGTAGAACCAACATGGCCGTGGCCACCACTGGGAATATAAAAACTATAAAACAGTTTTATCATATGATTGGGATGGTGGGTTTACATATATAAGTAGTATATATGGTGGTGGCCATGTTGGCTTTAGGTTTGGTAGGCTTGATCTTGATAGTGACCTTTCATACACCTAGATGTAGCCACACACCACAAGGAAAGCTGGTACCTTACTTATTTGTTTAAGATCTTCAGTTCACAGGATGGATGGACATTTGTGGTGGCAGCCATTTGCATTTTGATGTTGCAACCCAATTTTGGATAGTTAACTTTCTTAAACCTAGATGTAGCCACACACCACAATGGAAGTTGGTACCTGACTTTTTTTTTCCCAAGTTATCACATCATGGACAGATGGACCGAGGCGATTTCCAATTCCCCCCGCTTCACTCTGCGATGGAGGACAATACAAATTTATCTGCATAACCTGTAGACGCTACAAACCTTAGAGGATGAAGGGATGATTTCTTCAATGACCAACAGGAACACAGTGAGCGACACCAACACTGATGTGGAAAGGGACAGCTTCTCTCCCTCATCTGATGGCAGATAGAACACCAACACGGTTAGGAAGGACAGGCCGAGGCACGGGATGATGAGGAAGAGGGTGTAGAACAAGGGCAGCCTTTTTAGGATAAAGGAGTAGGTGACAAACGGGTACCAGTACACCCCATCCCTCCTGCTTCCTTTCATTCCTGTGGCATTCAGGATTTCCCATTCACCATTGTCAAAAAAGTCCTTACGATCCACGTAGTGATCCACCAGGACCAGGTCCACCATGTGTCCATCGTAAGTCCACGAGCCAAACTTCATGGAACAGTTCTGTCGGTCAAAGGGGAAGTAGGTGACGTCCATGGTGCAGGAGGATTTATAACTGGCAGGAGGAGTCCAGGTTATGGTGCCATCCCAGCGAACAATGGCCTTAGTCATCAAGGAACCTTCAAATCGACCATCAGCACTGAGAGGGGACATTAAAAAGAGTTTAGGAAAGATAAACCCCTGACAGAACACACAGAAGGAGAATTGGAAATGGGAAAAGCTACTAGATACAGAAGAACCAATGTGATTTGACAGAGTGCACATTCTGAGGTAGTGTCTGGTTCCTTCAGAGGCCTGAGAACTCACTTTTCATACAGAACAATGTCAGGCAGCCAAATGGTCTCTGACGGCACTCGGATGGAGGTGATACCCCGGTAGTCATCGGGGTCCCACTTCAGCTTCACATCAGTCCACTCCTTGAAAAAACGAGAAAATCACAGAAAAACTGCTCAGATTTAGACCAACTGCTAAAAAAAGAGACTCCGAGTTTTCATTTCAGCACTTTTTTACTTTTTAAAGAAAACACCAAAACATATAGGACAGAGTTTTTCTTATTTATTTAACAATTCTCCAGCATGTTTATTTATTTATTCATTCATTTTTAACCCTTTCATTCCAGTGTAAGTATGTCTTAGCATGATTGGGCTTTTATTTATTTATTTTATGCATCTGGGAATTAGGAATATTTTAAGCACACGTTATGTCAGTGATCACTGTTCAGCTATTTTTACCATCTACAATCTGACTTATATATATATATATATATATATATATATACATACATATATATAATGTGTGAATTGTTCAAGCAGCAGCCTATTGGTTTCAAAGAGTACATGGTGTCATCATCATTATCATCATCTTGATCATCATCATTACTATCATCATACCTAGTCAAACAAATGCTAAAGGAAACAAAGAAATAAAGAGATTTTTTAAAAGTATATAACTCAAGAATTTACATTTGTGGACAAGGCCATATCAAAATGAAAATCCTGTACTTATTTAAATTACTACTTTTTACCTGCCAGAGCCAGACATTTGTAGTCATCAGCTGGTTCTTTTCATCCTGCAAGAAAATCAAGAAAGAAACTGAGTTAAATCTGCTAATTAGGAATGATAAGATCAGAGAGGGTAATAAGGAGCAAACCAAAAGCTGGAGTGAAGAAGTTCATTTTGCCAACAACAAAAAGGATATTAAACCTTGACCATGTCTTTGTCTTTATTTTGTTTTCTACTGTTTCTACAGTTTATTAATCGACTTCCTTCTGGTTATATCAAGAACATGCTTTAAGTCTTAGTTTGCAAAACTTGGTGTTGACTTTATTCAAGGTTACTCAAAATAAAATAAAAGTAAGAAGCATTAAGATAAGTTGTTAAAAAAAATCTTCATTGAGTTTATGTCAGCAAAAATACTGTAAGGTAAGTAATAAGGAAAACATAAGAAAGTAAGAGACATTAAAAGGGGATGTGTTTAGATAAACTAATTGGTTCTGAATATGACAAAATATATAAAAATTACCTGAAAACAACGCTCCCCTTTTTGTCATTTCTGTTCGAAAATATATTAAACAAGAGGTTTTAGCCATGTTAGCTGTGTGTGTCCTTGCTAGAATAATGCATGTAGTCTGGGCCCATACAGCTCAGCCGTCTCTTATTTAGAGCTACAGAAACCACTTCAGGACTTTTTAGCTTCGTTTTGGTTTTCTCTGGTCAGTTTCGTTCATATGAACAGCTCATTTTATTACGTTTTGATAAGTCTCTTTTGTGCCTCTAATAATAGTTTGTAGCTCGTAAGCTCCTAAGCTTTTTCCTCTCTTTATATGGTTTTCTTCCACGATATTAGAAATCTAACATGATCGTTCTGCTCTTCTCAAACCGTCCTCGTGCTGTTTATCTCCTGCAGTCAGCCTTAAGAGAAGTTCACCTCCTCCCCTCTTTCATCCTCCGTTAACATCTGCCACACTTTGTTGTGCAGCACAAATGTATGGACCACTTTACAGTGTATGAAGCAATATTTATTGGCACACAGAAGTACGGAAAGCTTTAAAGGACATACCACAGCCTGTTCATCTCCAGTCTATGGAGGTGGAAAATGATGTTCTTATAATAAAGATGAGGCTCAGTGACCAAACAATGTCAAACCTGAAAACTTGAAAGTTTTTCAAATATCCCCACAGATGCAATGATTTCACTTTTCTTAGTATTTCTGAACTTAACGGCCACTGATTACTGTTAAAGTCCAAGATGTCTTCTTTTAAGCTAAGCAGCTACTTTTGTGCACCAACTCTTCATTCAAGGTTTCTTAAAAGTTTACATTTTCTATGAATTGGCTTTTTCTAAGAAAACCTGACTGACCAAACAAGATAAAGTCTAACATTTTGTAATATATATATATATATATATATATATATATATATAGTTGTATATATATATTAAATGTGTTGCCGTGTCTGTGAATAAACCTTCAAATAGATGTTGTATTTTTGTTTTTCAAATAAATTGATTGATATTTTATTTCTGCCTGAAGAAAATTAACTTGTCACAACAGCAAACAAAATGAATTTTATGTTTTGAACATAACAATATAAACATAATAAAAAATCTAACAATCAGAACTAACATTCAGTATCATTGAAACATAGTTTATATTTTACTACATAAAGGATGCTCCGTGACTGGGAGCAGTCTGTCCTCTGACCTTCTGCTCCTCGTTCACTCACTTGTCTTCAGGTTCAGTTTTTAAATATTTCTTCATGTGAAAATTATGATTTCTGAATTATTAATCGCTGTACACTTCACGCTCAGAGAGAAACATCACAACTCTTCATCGTGCATTCCTTCATATGAAGCTCAAGAACAATCTGGGATTATCTGTGGAAATGTAGCAGCTCATTAAGATGGAAGGAATTTGGGTGGAACAGTTTTATAAGAGATTTTATTACTCCCTAACAAAAATCCCACTATAACGGTAACTCTCCAGCTTGATGGAGAAGCTGTGGAAATAAAATTGCAAATCATTACCATATTTTTGGGAGACTGTCAAGTAATTAGAACTTATTGGAAGGAGATACATAAAGCAATACAAGATATTATTGGACGTCAACTGCCTTTAGAAAGTAGTGTTTTGGTTTTTTTTGGACTCACGCCTGAAGGATGGTCAAAGATAAATAAAAATCTGGCTTTCACTGGAGAGCCCAACATTGAACATCTGGATGGACATCACAATGGACATATAGAGGATGGAGAGAATAACTGCAGAAGTAAACGATGAAACGGACAGATTTATTCTACGCTAGAAGAAATGGATGGTTTACATAAAATCACATACACCAGATATAGCCCTTTGTATTATTGTTTTTTTATTTGTTTTTTTATTATTTTCTTGTTAAAACATGTAAATTGATACTCTACTAATAATTGAAGTATTAAATGTTAATTATGTTAAATATATTTATAAATGTCAATAAAAATATATTTTTTAAAGAAAATTATGATTTCTTATTTTATGAATGTATTTGTTTTTGGGTGAACGTGTCATTTGCTCACCACATCAACCAGCTGTGAGATCTTCAGGCCGAAGCGGACGGTTATGGTGTCGTTGGCGTGCTGGACGGGGCGCACCCACTTCTGGTAGCCTTTGAAGAGGTTTCTCAGCAGGGAGTCCTCCATCTGAGCCAGCGACACAAAGTCTTCTGAGGCTGGACAAGAAGACGCAACACAGAGAGGATGATAAAAAATGAACTCTGGGACAGATTTATGACTTGGAGCTGAAATAACCAAAGAAAATAAATTAACACAGATCATTAGATCTTTTTTTTTTTACTTGAAAAAAGGCCAAAAGTGAGTTAACACAGCATGTTTATGTATGTCATATTACTACAGCCCTGTACTCATGATACCAATTAATGAATCTGAAAAAGCAGAAGTTTACAAAAATGTTTTTACATTTTAGGTAAAGCTGAGGAGAGTCATTTATTGTCGCCCCCTGACAAAAGCAAAGATGTTAATGTTGTTGGTCTATAACTACATGTGCGTTTGTTTGTCTGTCGCATCAGCAAAACATCTCATTGAATGAATGGACAGAATATTATTTTGTATATTACATTTATTTTATTAGAAAAATTCTGATGACATTTTTAAAAATTGAGGATTTTTAGGGGCAGCGTGGTGGAACAGTTGGTAGAGCTGTTGCCTCTCAGTGAAAAGGTTGCCGGTTCAAACCCTGGTCATGGATCTTTCTGGGTGGAGTTTGCATGTTCTCTCCGTGTTTCATATCCGGTTTCCTCCCACAGACCAAAAACATGCATGTTAGGCTGATTGGTAACTAATTGTCCCTGGATGAGAGAGAGAGAGTGAATGGTTGTTTGTCTCCCTGTGTCCCTGTGATGGACTGGAGACCTGTCCAGTTGTCCATGTGATGGACTGGAGACCTGTCCAGTTGTCCCTGTGATGGACTGGAGACCTGTCCATTATGTTCCTCACCTCTCACACAGTGATAGCTGGACATGGACACCAGTGACCCCCATGACCCAAAAAGAAAGAAGCGGGTAAAAGATGATCCATGGATGGATGGATGGATGGATGGATCCAAGAATGGATGGATGGATGGATGGATGGATCCAAGGATGGATGGATGGATGGATGGATCCAAGAATAGATGGATGGATGGATGGATGGATCCAAGGATGGATGGATGGACAGATGGAATGTTTACTGAGAGCACCAAAGAAAAATAAATAAATGAGAACGGTCAACAATAAAAGTGTCAGATGTTTCCCCATGAGACCTTCCAGGAGTTCAACAGCTCGGTAGGTTTGCACATAACGATGGTTCTGTTTGTTTCAGAACACAAAAATCATCCTTAATTGATGAAGTGACCCTTCTTATCTGAGAGGGAAAATGATGTAATGTTGTCAGAGTCATACAACACACAGACGGTCAGACTCGGACCGACAGCAGGTCATGACTGAACGAAAGAAACCCGATCCCCATGAACGAGCTGACAGCGCCACCTCGGGGAAACAAAACGAGCTCCGAGTACTTTCTGCACTCAGACTCAAGACGTAGTTATCAAAGAGTGACATTTGTTTCCAGTGGGAAGCTGTAAAATGAAGGAGCAGTGCTCTAAATTTACCAGCCAGCGTTCATTTGCAAACAGCTGGAAGACAGCTGTCCCCCGAGGACACAACAAATAGAAGCTGAACTATGACCCATCCTGTTTTAATCAGCTTCGATCAGCTGAAGTTACTATTTCAGCTGATCGAAGCTGATTGAAACATAATTAACACAAACTGGGAAAAGGGACATGTTTTGTATCAGAAGAAAATAAACAGAACATTTAAAATGTTCAGTAACGTAAAGGTTTCTTTTTAATTTAAAAACAAAAGTCTGAGTTGTTCACTCAAAGCTGCATGTCTTGTCAGATCGAAGTTATAGACAAAATATTTCAACTGAACGTGGTATTTATGTGTAACATGTCAAATTATTCATACAGACCTTCACCTCAACATGTACATTTATACAACTTTTTGACCAAAGGAAAGTTGCATTCAATATATATTTATAGCATTTATTTATTGTTTACTTATAAACTAATAAAATTCAATTTCACCTGCACAGGAAGCTGCAGAAAAAAATTATGTTATTTGAAATGTTTATATTCCCAATTAAAAATGGGTTCATGAGATTTTCAGATTCATCCATCATCCATTCATTCATCCATCCATCCACCATCCATCTATAATCCATCCATCCATCATCCATCAATACAACCATCCATACATCCATCATCCATTCATCCATCTATAATCCATCCATCCATCATCCATCCATAATCCATTCATCATCTATTCATCCTTCCATCATCCATTAATCATCCATCTGTCATCCATACATCCATTCATCCATCATCCATCCATCAATCATCCATCTGTCATCCATCTATCCATCCATCCATCCATCTATTAATCCATACATTAATCCATACATACATACATACATCATCCATCTTTAATCCATACATCTATACATCTATCCATCCATCCATCCATCCACTATCCATACATACATACATCATCCATCTTTAATCCATCAATCCATCTATAATCCATCAATCCATCCATCATCCATCCATCCATGTTAGACCTATGTTTGTAGGCTGTATAAATTGGTGGTATGGCATTTCTTGGCCTGCAAACCGTCAGTTCGACACACGTCCTAGAGTAAGTAACTGAACCACTGTGCTGTTCCTCATTATATGTAAGTCAGATGCAAGTGGCAGCTGCGTTCACTGGACGCTCGGAGCACTAAGTGACATTTGTAGATGAGCAGCAGACAAGAGGCTGCCTCAGTAACTCTACCAGCCCAAAGCTTCAAGCTGCATTAGTCCAAAAGAAGCCAACAGTCTGCACAGCTTGTGTTGTTTTCCATCCCAACAACAGACAGAAGAAAGAAGTTCAGATCTGCAGCCGTTCAAATAAGGAGTGGTGAGAGCTGATAAGGGACGGAGCGAGACAGAGTGACCCAGAGCTATTCCCTGTAGCGCCTGAGAGGCAGAATGACGAGGAGAGACAGAAGTTAGTGCAGAAGGACACATTAGCTAGGGTGAGGAAAGAAGAACTGACAGCAAAATGAATCTCAGGGGAAACGTAATTCCCATTTATTCTTGATTCTAAACCCACAACACTGTTTTTATGTTTATCCATTCTGCGTGCTCCATGCTTGGAGGGGGCAGCTGCGGCTCAGGTGCTGCAGCTGAGGTATTTCTGAATAAACCACTAAACACATTTCACAGAGGAAGGGGCTTCATCGGTCTTTTAACATGACTGCATTCAATTATCTATGACTCTTTTAGACATGCACTGGGTTTAATTATACTGTTGGCATCAAAACATAAAACGTGTGAGTGAATGTTTGAATCCCACCTAAAGAGGTTTTATTTTCAATGTTCTGATAACTAAACATTGATACAGTCTCATTAATAAAATGGCATTTTATTTTCATTTTATAACAATAAGTCACCTTTACATGTGTTTAAATTTATAGAAAATGTATATTTGTTTGGTCTATTTGTCAAGGTTATGTTAATTTAATCTTCTTGCCGTTATTTTCATCAAAAATGCACGACAGGACAATCAAAACCAAACCTGAAATTTAATAGAAAACACATTTAACCATGATGGTAAGTTCTAAAAGCTACTTAGTGCTGAACTGGATTCATGATTCAACTTGTTACGTCCTGAAATGACTTGTTGTGAACAGAAATACATTGAAAACAGCTAACAAAATGGCCTTTCATGACCTGTCATTGCCATTTTTTGAATATTATTTATTATGTTTGGTCCATTCATTTCTAAACTATTGTTGTATTTTGGTATTTGTATTTAATTTTCATAACTGTCCTTGTGGTTCTGATTTTGGTGGGTGTTTTGTTACTCTTTCGAAGAACTTTTATATAAATGCTTGTATCTCAAAGTATGTCTTGCATAGCTCAGGGTAAAGCTGCGACTTCAGATGTAAGGATCTCTATAGAACAAGTCTGAAAAAAATGATATCATTTGAATCCCTTTTTAAATGGAGTGAGATTATTTTTTTATTATTGTTTAAAGAAACCTGGAGCGTCTATCCTTCCAGTAGTTGAGCTAAACTGTTTAAATTTTTAAAAATTCTTGGTAAATGAAGTGACAAATAGCCTAATAGTTATCAGCAGACCAATAAATTATCATAAAATGGCCACAACAACATTTATCATTGAATTTACATTAATTAATAAATAAAAATAAACACCAACACATATTGCTATTGAGTGTCCGTGGAGTTAAAACTTAGTGCTCACACTCACATTACCTTCCATTGCATCAGATCCACACAAAGTTGTCACAAACCAACAATGAGGTTTGTGCACAACCCGTCAGCTGTTTTCATTTCTGATCCCTACAGCTGCAGCAAACATGCAGCAGCTCCACCGTCAAACATACAGCAGCCGCCATCTGAAGCTGATCGACCCTGTGCACGTGTGAATGCGTGTGTGCCGGGGCCAGATGTAAAAGCATCGATCAGAATGTGCACCGTGTTGGTTGGAGAGGATGAAATTCAATCTCTGTAGGAACATTATGATGCATTAGAGCGTGAGCGTCTGCTTCCTGAGTGGAGGAGAAACTGCAGCTCGGAGTTTGTCGGAGGCAAAGCTTCGTGGATGACTGACGGAGACGCAGGAGGGGCCCAGCGTGCAGCCGTGCACCCTGCTGCCCCCTCAATCTGAAACTCCCCATGTGTGCCGCAGTGGCACGCTCATCCTGACACCGCTGCATCTGTTCCAAGTGGAACCACAACAGGACGGTACCACCGAGCAGGACAGAAAGAGGAGAATCCTTCTGTTTTAAGGCAACGATGCTCGGAAGTGACACAGATGGATTTTACATTTCTCTTTCAGACACTTTTATAGTTTATATTTTTTTAATCAAACTACTTCCACATGTTATATTGGTTCAAATTTCAAAATGTTCAGCTTGCTCAATAGTTGGGCGTTCTGACTTTATACCTAAAACATTTAACTTTTATTTGTTTATTTGCTTAATTCTAATGAAGATAAGATCTACTGAAATCCTGCAAAATCTTTATTTGCTTCCAAACCCGGGCTCTGCTTGTCTTACAGCTGAGCTTTGGTGGTTGGTGCATAGCATTTAGCT